AAGCACTGGACTGTGAACAAAAAGGTCAGCAATTCAAACCCATCAGCTGCTCTTTGGCAATCCTATACAGGGTCTCTATGAGTCAGAATCAATCTGATGGCACTTAACAACAACAACAAGCTCTGCGTATTGTAAGGAATAAAAGAAAACAAAGCAGAGAGTCTCTGCCCTCGGGGTGTCGAATGTTAATGAACAATGAAAAAGGCGACTCAGCATTAGTGTTGTGGTGAGCAGACCAGGTTGGATCAGGAGGCCTGGATTCTGGCAATGGCTGACCATCGCTGTGGACAAGCCACTGTGCTCTCTGAGCCTGTTTCAGCATGTGAAACTGAGGTTTTAGACTCAGCCACTAAAGGCCATCAGCTTCTGAGATTCTAGAACAGATGGTTGCTGAAGGAGACCTGAGTGTGGGCAGCAGGGATTGTATCATTTGGTGGGTGAATCATACTAGTGGCTATGCGAAAATAACATCTGCAAATCAACACAAGGGCAGCGGCAACTAAGAAACACACTTAATTGTGACTGGCTGGGTGCCTGTTTCACTCGAAAAATATATTCCTGAAGAGGCACAGGGTGACTCAGCAGACAGCTGTAACCCAATGAAACTGAGCTCTCCAGTTTCCTTGCTCTGATTCCAGATACTGAATGATCTAATTTCTTTCTCCATGATAGTTTCCCTCCAAGGCAAGAGGAGAGACAGACATGAGTTCCTAAACTATGTGGCACTTGGAAAGTGACATTCTTGTGTAGGAGCAAAATTAGTTCATACATGAGAAATAAATGTGAAATTGTATGAAGCGGAATTCAAATGCAAAAGGATAGCATTCTGAGCGATATCATCATTAGTTTGAATCATTCTCATACTGATTTGCTTAGCCTTTGAACCAGCTTTTTAAAGCTGCCCAAGCGTAGTGGTTATGAGTCAGGCTGCTAATCCCAAGGTTAGCAGTTTGAAACTACCAGAGGTTCAAAGAATGAAAGATGAGGCTTTGGGCTTCAGTAAAGATTTATAGCCTCAGAAACCTATACAGGTTCACTGTGAGTTGGAACCGACACCACGGCACACAACCACCACCATCACCACTACCACCAATGCTAGGTAAATACAGGAATTCTGGATCTGCAAAGCAAATGAGGGGCAAAAGTTACTAAGACTTATATGTTGTGGCTGTTGCTGCTGCAGAGTAGGCGCTGACTCACGGTGACCCCATATACAACAAAAGGGAACCTTGACTAATCCTGTGCTGTCTTCACTTTCCATTATAGTGACTACTGTGTATTTTGAGTGAATCCCCACTAGGGGTTTATCTTCTAGTAATGGTGGTGGTGGCTGTGTGCCATGGAGTCGGTTCCGACTCATAGCAACCCTGTACAGGATTTCTGAGGCTGTAAATCTTAACGTGAGCAGAACTCCTCATCTTTCTCCCACTGAACAGCTGGTAGTTTCGAACTGCTGACCTTGCAGTTCGCAGCCCGATTTGTAACCACTATGCCTGGTGTGGCATTGTTGGTTAATGCGCCAGACTGCAAAGCCATTTGAACTGCAAGGCCGGCTGTTCAAGCTCACCAGCTGCTCCTTGGAAACCCTATACAAGGTCACTATGGGTTGGAATCGACTCGATGGCACTTGACAACAACAACATGCTACAATAATTATCTGTTGTGAACCTTAGCATTTTCCCTGGAGAATTATTTAGAGTTTTCCCTGGAGATCACCAGGCATTTTTTCCTAGTCTGTCTTATTCTGGAAGTTCCACTGAAAGCTGTTTACCATAAATGACCCTATTTGTATTTGAAATACCAGTAGCATAACTTCCCCCATTATATAGCAACATGGAAGCCACCACAGTATGACTAACTGACAGACAAGTGGTTGAACATGTGGTTATTAAGTGCACTGTGGTTATTAAGTGCCGTGGAATCAGTCTGCCTCATAACAACCTTGTATAGGGTTTCCAAGGAACAACTGGTGGGTTTGAACAGCTGACCTTGCGGTTAGCATTCCAGCGCTTAGTCTACATGAGGACTCAAAACCCTTACATAGTGATTTACAGTCTATAAAAGGTTTTTGCATACTGTATCTTTGGGAGAAAGAAAATATTATTTTCCACAGTGTGTAGTTCAGGAAGGTTCAGAGAGGTTAGGTAACTTGTTTAGACCCATAAAGCTATTGAAAGTTGGGGCTGGTATGTTGTTCTTGTTGTTAGGCCCAATTGAATTGACTCTGACTTGTAGCAACTGTTAGCACAACAAAATGACACACTGCCAGGTCCAGCACCATCCTCACCACTGTTCTTATGCTTGAGCCCATTGCTGTTGCTACTGTGACGATCTATTTTGTTGGGGGTCTTCCTCTTTTTCACTGACCAAGTATAACATCCTTCTCCAGGGACTGGTCCCTCCTTATAACATGATCAAAGTAGGAGAGACGAAGTCTCGTCATCCTGACTTTCAAGAAGCATTCTGGCTGTACTTCTTCCAACACATATTTGTTTGTTCTTCTGGTATTCTATGGTACTTTCAATATTCTTCTCCAGCACCATAACTCAAACACATTAATTCTTCTCTGGTCTTCCTTATTCATTGTCCAGCTTCACATCGCTACTGACACTGTACTAATCCATCTCATTGGGGGGGCTTCTTCTTTTTCTCTCACCCTCCACTTTATCAAACATGATATCCTTCTCCAGTGACTGGTCCCTCCTGATAATATGTCCAAAGTATGAGAGATGAAGTTTGGCCATCCTGGATTCCAAGGAGCACTCTGGCTATACTTCTTCCAACACAGATTGATTTGTTCTTTTGCCACAGTCCATGGTACTTTTAATATTCTTCTCCAACACCATAACTCAAATGCATCAATTCTTCTACAGTCTTCCTTATTTGCTGTCCACTTTTCACATGCATAGGAGGTTATTGAAAATACCATGGCGACCCTGTACAGGGTTTCTGGGGCTGTAAATCTCTATGGGAGAAGAACTCCTATTAGGCAAATCTGTTGCCCAAGACCTTTTGTCATTTGATTTCTTGACTGTTACTTCCATGAGTGTTGGTTGGTCTGAGCAAAATGAAGTCTTAGACAACTTTAATCTTTTCTCCACTTATATGGATATTCTTTATTGGCCCAGTGGTGAGGATTTTTGTTTTCTTTACATTGAGATGCAACCCATACTGAAGGCTGTGGTCTTTGATCATCATCAGTAAGTATTTTAAGTCCTCTTCACTTTCAGCAAGCAAGATTGTATCATCTGCCTATCACAGGTTGTCAATGAGTCTTCCTCCAACCCTGATAACACGTTTTTCTTCATATAATCCAGTTTCTCGAATTATTTGTTCAGTTTACAGATTGAATAAGTATGGTGAAAGAATACAACCTTGGCACACACCTTTCCTAATTTTAAACTTGTTCTGTTTGAACAATTGCCTGTTGGTCTATGTGCAGGTTCCTCACAAGCACAGAATACTCATACTTCATAATGTTGTCCATAACTTCTCATGATCCCTACAATCGAAAGTCTTTGTGTAGTCAATAAGGCACAGGTAAACATCTTTCTGGTATCCTCTGCTTTCAGCCAAGATCCATCTGACATTAGTAGACATACCTCTCATTCCATGTCCTCTTCTGAAACCAGCTTGAGCCTCAGGAAGTTCTCTGTCAATGTATATTTGCAGCCATTTTTGCATTACCTTTAGTAAATCTTTACTTACATGGGAAATCAATGATATTTTAGGTGATTTCTGCATTCTGTTGGATCACTTCTCTTTGGAATGGGTAGATAAGGTTATTGAAAATACTGACTTAGGTCAAGGGTACCTTAGTCTTCATATTGATCTCTTTGCTCTTCAACACTTTAAAGAGATTTTACACAGCAGATTTGCCCACCAAAATAAGTCACCTGATTTCTTGACTGCTGTTCCCATGAGTGTTTACTGTAGATTCAAGCAAAATGATGTCTTTGTTAACTCCAAAGTTTTCTCCATTTATCATGATGTTGCTTACTCATCCAGTTGTGAGGATTTTGGGGGCTGACAGTTGATGCTAAATCCAATTCACAGTGTTGCTGCTTCTTAAGAGAGTGTATATTCTTCTCCCATTTGACACGCCTCTCTTACAAATATACTCACACACAGAGAATTACTACAAAAGGTCCAGACCCAATGGAACTGTTGAAGAATAGTCATAAGCAGAAGGTAGAGAAGAAAACCAAAATGTTCATCTAACATATTCTACAAATCACAGAATTGCTTTTCTTTCCCTCTTCAAGTGCTACTAGAAACCTTTCTGGATGGCTACCCCATGGCTGGGTCTGTTTCACTTCCCTTAGTCTCTGGACTTAGGGGCATTGGTGGTGCACTGGTAGAATCCTTACTTTCCATCTGAGAGACCCAGGTTCAATTCCTGGCCAATGAGCCTCATGCACAACCATCTGTCCGTGGAGGCTTGCTTGCATGCTGCTATGATGGTGAACAGGTTTCAGCAGAGTTTCCAGACTGATGTAGACTAGGAAGAAAAGCCTTCAGATCTACTTCAGAAAATCAGACACTGAAAATCTTATGGATCATTAGAAATGGTTTGATCAAAACGGACACTGGAGATGTCGCAAGACCGGATAGTGTTCTGTTCTGTTTTGCTTGGAGTGGCCATGAGTCAAGCTGGCTCCAGCTCAACAGCAGGTAACAACAAGCCCCTTGACTCAAACGGAATCTGCTTGCTTCAGACGTAGAAATCTCCCATTCTGCTTAGGTGAACTGGGGTGTCAGACATTCCCCTGAATTCTGCTTGTACCTCTTCTAAGGACCCTCATCTGAGGCAGCTCCCTCAGAATAATACTGCCTGATGTAAACCTACCCGGAGTCCAAGCATCTCAGCCACTGGAGATGCCGGTTTCCGGTTACCAGAAGAGGAGGGAGGGCAGGTCTGGTTCTTGAGATCTCAGATCCTTTCTAAAGTGTAAGCCTGAGGTCTCCATCTGCCACAGTGAGACTAGGCAGAGTGAGGTCTTGTGACAGGACACTTCCCATTCACGGAGGGCAGTAGAAGACAGCACTGCCTGGCTGGAACTCTATAGACTCAGGAGAAAGATGAATTGGCCACATTCCTGCATCTCCTTTTGTTGGATTTACTTTGCTGCCTACAGACTGAGAGGTGAGGGCTGGCAGCATGTAACCAAGTGGGCTCATCTGGGACCGTTTCTCTGGTGGAAGGGTGGAGTGGAGAGAGGCAAGAAAGACAGAACAGATGATCTAATGGTCCATGCTTCTTACTGACTCATGTTGATCTGAGTCAAAAACCCAAACCAGTTGTCAGAGTTAAGTCTGACTGATATGTATCAGAGTAAATCTGCAGTCACAGGGTTTTCATGACTGTGATCTTTCAGAAGTAAATCAACAGTTCTTTCTCCCAATGCACCTCTAGGTGGGTTCAAACTGCCAACCTTTTCGTTGGGAGTTGTGCACTTAACCATTTGCATCATCCAGGGTTTACTGATCTGAGTAGAACATACCAAACAATAGCTCTACTGGATCCAAAGTTTGTCTCTAACCAATGCTGGCTTAGAAATACACAAAACACTCTGAATTTTGATCCAGGTCCCTCTTTTTGAGCAGCTGTAGGGTCGGCAGATGGGAAATATGCTCAGAAGTTGTTTAATGACCTTTTTGAAGATTATTCCAATGCTCTCCGCCCAGTGGAAGATACGGATACAGTCCTGAATGTCACGCTGCAGATTACACTTTCTCAGATAAAGGATATGGTGAGTAACATACAGTGATGACTCTTTGGAATGTTGCTTAGAATGGAAAACAACAATCATTTCCAAGGAATGTTTTCACTGGGAATTTAAAAGATGATGTGAACAGACAACTCTGTATGCTAGCTGGTGGGAGAAGGGAGGGCTAGAAGAAGATTTCTAGACAGTTAATGTCACTATTGTTGTTGTTGTTAGGTGCCATGGAGTCGGTTCCGACTCATAGCGACCCTGTACAGGGTTTCTGAGGCTGTAAATCTTTACAGGAGCAGAAAGCCTCATCTTTCTTCCGCAAAACATCTGGTAGTTTCAAACTGCTGATCATGAGATTAGCAGCCAGATTCTCAACCACTACATTACTAATCCTGGCCATTAAGTGTAACCATTGGGTTTATCTAAAGAATATGGCCTTACATAGTGTATGGTTCTGTTTAAATGAAATATTCTGAACAGGTAAATTAATAAAGACAGAAAACAGCTTAGTGGTTGCCAGAGACTGGAATGAACAGGTTTAGGGAGTGACTGCATTTTGGAATGATAAAAATGTTCAGGAATTAGTGGTGATGATTGCACCACACTGGGAATGATTGAGTTATTAGGTATTTAAATTATTAATATTAAAATACCACAAATGGTTAAAATGATGAATTTTAAGTCATGTAAACTTTGCTTAATTATAATAATAATAAGACTGGTAATTTAAGATGGCATGCCTTATTCATTGCTTGTTGTTGTTATTAGTCAGTTCCAAATCATAGCAACCTGGGCACAACAGAACAAAACACTGCCCAGTCCTACGCTATCCTCAGAGTTGTTACGTTAGAGCCCATTGTTACTACCATCATGTCAATACGTCTTTTCCCCTGACCCTCTACTTTATCAAGCATGATGTTCTTTTCCAGGGACTGGTCCCTTCTGATATGTCCAAAGCACAAGAGATGAAGTCTCCCCATTCTCACTTCTAAGGAACATTCTGGCTATACTTCTTCCAAGATTTGTTTGTTTTTCTGGCAGTTCATGGTATTTTCAATATTCTTCACCAACACCATCCTTCAAACATCAATTCTTCTACAATCTTTCTAATTCATTATCCAACTTTCACGTGCATATAAAATGATTGAAAATACCATTGTTTGGGTCAAGCTCAGTTTAGTCCACAAACTGACGTCATTGCTTTTTAACACTTTAAAGAGATCTTTTGCAGCAGATTTGCCTAATGTGCTATGCCATTGGATTTCTTGACAGCTATTTCCATGAGTGTTAATTCTGGATCCAAGTAAAATGAAGTCTTTAATAACTTCAATCTTTTCATTTGTCATGATGTTGTTTATTGGTTCAGTTGTGAGGATTTTAGTTTCGTTTTTGTTTTTGTTTTACATAGAGGTGTAACCCATACTGAAGGTCATAGTCTTAGATCTTAATCAGTAAGTATTTCAGGTCCTCTTTGATTCCAACAAGCAAGGCTGTATCATCCGCACATCACAGAATGTTACTCTAATCCTGATATCATGTTTTTATTCCTGTAGCCCAATTTCTTAGATTATTTTCCCAGTAAACAGATTGAATAAGTATGGTGGAGGAATACAACCCTGTCACATACTTTTCCTGCTTTAAAACCATTCAGTACCCCCTTGTTCTGTTTGAATGACTGCCTCTTGGTCTATGTGCAGGTTCCTCATGAGCATAATTAAATGTTCTGGGATATCTATTCTTCGCAGTATTATCCATAGTTTGTCAGGATCTATACACTTAAAAGCCTTTGCACAGTCAATAAAGCACAAATAAGTAAGTATCTTTCTGATATTCTTTGCTTTTAGTCAAGATCAACAATGACATCCCTAGTTGCACGCCGTCTTCTGAATCCTTATTCACTGTATATAAGGTTATTGAAAATACCATGGCTTGCATCAGCCACACCTTAGTCCTCTCAAACTGACAACTTTGCTCCTGAAAACTTAAAGAGGTCTTGTGCAGCATACTTGTCATTTGATTTCTTGACTGTCGCTTCCATGACTGCTGCTGGTTGGTTGATCTGAGAAAAATGATGTCTTTGACAGCTTCAATCTTTTCTCCATTGATAAGAATGTTGCTTATTGGTCCAGTGGTGAGGATTTTTGTTTTCTTTACAGTAAGGTGAAACTCATACTGAAGGTTGGGGTCTTTGATCATCATTGGTAAATATTTTAAGTCTTCTTCACTTTCAGCAAGCAAGGTTGTATTATATGTATGTTGCAGGTTGTCAGTGAGTCTTCCTCTAATCCTGATGTCACATTTTTCTTCATATAATCCAGCTTCTTGGATTATTTGCTCAGCACACAGGCTGGATAAGTATGGTGAAAGACTACAACCCTAGCACACGACTTTCCTAAGTTTAAACCATTCAGTGTCCCTTTGTTCTGCTCAAACATCTGCCTCTTGGTCTGTGTACAGGTTACTCATGAGCACAAGTAAGTGTTCTGTAATACTCATTCTCTGCAATGTTGTCCATAGCTTGTCATGACCTACACAATCGAAAGCCTTTGTGTAGTCAATAAAGCACAAGTAAACGTCTTTCTGGTATTCTCTGTTTTCAGTCAAGATCCATCTAACATCAGGAATGATATCCCTTGTTCCACATCCTCACCTGAATCTGACTTGAACCGCTGGCAGTTCTCTGCCAATGTATGTTTGCAGCCATTTTTTATTTATCTTTAGCAAAATTTTACTTGTATGAGATATTAATGATATTGTCCAATGACTTCCACATTCTGTTGAGTCACCTCTTTTTGGATAGGCACAAATATGGATCTCTTCCAGTCAGTTGGTCAGGTAGGTGTCTTCCAACATTTTGGCATAAATGAGTGAATGCCTCCAGTGCTGTATCAGTTTGTTGAAAGATTTCAATTTGTATTCTGTCAATTCCTGGAGTCTTGTTCTTTGCCAATGCCTTTAATGCACATTGGATTTCTTCCTTCACTA